TCTAAGACACCACTCCATTCTAGCTGTAGCTGCTACGGTGGGGAATCCAGATGTTTAAATAGGAAAGGAATCCAGGGTGGTCGCCATGCTCCAGACACAAGGAGCACCTTACTTCTTGCCAGATTTCTTAATTCCACCTGAGGCCAGGGGGCCCTTCCCCGCCGCCTTCGCTTTTAGCTCCTCGAGCTTCTTCTGCTCTTCTTTTTGCTTCTGCTTGAAAATCTTATCTTCCTTCGTGGCCAGACATCACACCTGCCAACCTCTCACAAGTTTTAATAACTCACTAGAAGAACTTATAGTACTCATGAAAAGAAATATATGTATTTTTACAGATTATTTATTTATTTATTTATTTATCGAGAGATTTTTGCTATAGAGCATGTGCACTGGACAGAGAGAAAGAGAGAGACAGAAATCAATAAATCACCCACTAGAGGGGATGGCCACATCGCAATCCCTTCTCCTCCATTCACCTCTTGGGATTTTGGGCATGCATGCACACACACCCAGCATAAGTTTCAAGCTGCCAGGTTCGGTACTCGAATTACAAATCAGTCACAATTGAGTCCAGCACCTTAACCACTGCACCACCTGCTGGCCCCTACAGTTTTATTATAAAAAGTACAGCTCAAGAATAGCAAAATATGGGACCAGCAAGTGGTGTGGTAGTTAAGGCGCTGGACATTCTCACATGGCCGACCGCGGTTCAAGTCCTGGACCTGGTGGCTTGCTTTCTCAATTTCCATCTGTGTGTGTGTGTGCGTGTGTGTGTGTGTGTGTGTGTGTGTGTCTACGGTCAAATTAAAGTAAATGACTGAATAAATAAAATTAAATAAATAATTCTTTAAAAAAAATAAAAGAACAGCAAAATGGAGGAGACACATAGACCAAAGACTGGAGTGGGTTGTGGGGGGCAAGTGGAGGGGCGGTACAGATCTTGAATTGAAAGAGACACACAAGGCAAGGCCTGGGGTGGGGAGGAGGGACACTGACTTTGGATGTCCCCTCCTCATGGAATTTGGATTTGTCACTCTTCCAGCAACCAAGTGTTCACCAACCAAGAAGCTCCACTGAGCAACCACATGTGGAGATTTTCCCTGGGATTTCATGACATAGCCAATGGCAGATTAAATCATCGGCCATGTGATTGAACTCACTGCTCAGTCTCCTTCCCCTCCTTGGAAAGGTTTTCAAAGCTCTATGCAGGAACCAGATATTCTTTATATTAAATCGCAGCTCATTAGCATATTATTTCTGGAATATTTTGTAGTTTAAAAACTGATGTAACTTTGCATAACCCAGTATTTCTTCAATGTATTTGACTGTGGAGCCCCATTTTGCGGCCCCTACTTTCCCCCTGTACACACATACCTCAGCCATCAGCAACCCTTGAAAACTCAGTTTGGGGACACTGCTCAAATCCTTACTACTCTGAGCTCTGGTGCTGCACTCCCATATGCATGATGACAGGAAAGACTTTAACGTTTGTGGGACCTAGTGCCAAACCACTATGCAATTCCTCGTTTAAACATTATTAAAAATGTCAGGGCAGCAGCAATGAACCAAGCCAGGCCTATCACAAGCACAGGCTGCGTGCCAGTGAAGCCAGCCCTGCCCGATGGACTCTCCTGCTGGGTTTTCTAGTTCAAGAGTGACATCATCATCTACCCAGAATCCCTGGTTATCAATTTTGGCTTTTCCTCTCCTTCACCCCTCTTATCCAGCCAATCACCAGGTCTTGAATTCTTCCACTTGAGTATCTGTCGAACTTGTCCACAGCTCTTTATCACCACCAACCTCCCTAATTCATGCTGTCATCACTCCTAGAAGATTGCTTCGGCTTTCCCTCACCCACTCAGCCTTCCATCGCACTCTTCCACTTAGACAGCCAGAGTCTAAGAATGCAAACCTGATCGTGATTCCTGGCCTGATTCCTACGTTCATTCCCTCCCCACCTGCCCCTGCCCTTGCTTACAACACCTCAGTGGCACTCCTTGCTTTGGGGATGTTTAATCACACACTGAATGCTAAAGGAGAATTAAGCCTCAAGGAACCATATCACACCTGATATTGTACACAGTTCA